GTCTCAGCCTGTATCTCCGAAACTATTTGAGTCCGACCCTTATATATATATATGAAATTACTCGGGAAGACATCCCCAACAACATATTTAAAAATCAAGCGAATCGGAGAGGAAGTCGCTTTTATGCACAATTACCGAAATATACCATTTGTAGAAATTCCGGCGAAGCTTCTAGAAGGTTCGATGCCTACGTGACTCGACGCGATATAGCGGAACTCTAGGGAGAAAAACAAGGGATCGGTATGCGGATTAATTAATCGGCGGCGCGCGGCAAATTTAAAGTTTGAAAAACGGCATAAGGATGAACGGAGGCCCTTTGCCAAGGTGACCAAAGCTCAAATTGTTTAGAGCACCGGAAAGTGCCATAATTAGCACTTTAAAGGAAAATTCCGAAGGGCCCCCGCTCATCACCACTTCCGCACTTGCCCTACAACCTAACAGTATATAAGCGGGCCGTCGGAGCCCCGAATTCGTAGTACGTTTTCCAACGTTTAGCAGGCCGAAGCTCTGCCCGAGAGACAAGCCTCATAAGGGAAAATTAAGTAAGAACGGCAAAGCTCTGCCCGACTATACACCGGCATTATTCTCTGCCCGTAAAAGAGAGACGGAGTGAGTGAGAGTGCGATAATCGGAGTGAAAGTAAGTGGATTAACATAGTGATACTTAACCATAAATTAATATCCTGCCCGTCGAGGTAATAATTAATTGTTGTACGCGGAATACTCTGTTGCTCGGTAGTGATACTCAGCCCCCGCCTCCTTCGGCGACGAAAACTGTGAATACCTCCACCTTTTGGTTGCGCGCTCTTCACAGGGCGTTCTTCCGATCCATCTGCCACTTTGGTTGCGCGCTCTCCACAGGGCGTTCCTCCAATCGTGCCTCCACCTTTCGGATGCGCGCTCGCTGCCGGGCGCTCTTCTGATCCGTCTACCACCTTGGATGCGCGCTCTCCACAGGGCGTTCCTCCAATCTTGCCTCCACCTTTCGGATGCGCGCTCGCTGCCGGGCGTTCTTCTGATCCCTCTGCCACCTTGGTTGCGCGCTCTCCACAGGGCGTTCCTCCAATCTTGCCTCCACCTTTCGGATGCGCGCTCGCTGCCGGGCGTTCTTCCAATCCGTCTGCCACCTCGGTTGCGCGCTCTCCACAGGGCGTTCTTCTGAGCTTCCTCCACCTTCGAATGCGCGCTCTTGCACAGGGCGTCCTTCGTTGGAACCGATTCACCAGCCGGCATTAAGCACCCGGGTCCTATCTGAATCACGTACACCCTCGCCTCTTCTTCTCTTTCCTGACGCCTCGTGCCTTCTGTTCTGCTGTTTCTTTTTCGCCGTCGTCTCCATTCCCCGAGTCAGACCCCACAAAAGAAAAGGGGGACTCATCCAGACAATCATGACAATTTTTCCATCTCTCATTGCTACCGGCAATTTAACAGGGTCCCCTCGCTGTTAGGGAAACCTCGAATGGGTACCTGGCACACGGGGAAACAAACGAACTAAATAACGTTGTTCCAGATGCGCATTGTGGTTTCGGAACAAGCATTTGAGCCAGTAAGGCATGCGAATAAGAGCATATTCGGGCCACGACAGCCCCGGCATATTAAGCCAATTATCAAGTTCCTTTTCCTTTTCTTTTCTTTATAAATACCCGCTATAGCGGACAGGGACCATCTCGTTCCCTAATAGATTTTGTTTTCATTCCTCTCTTAGTTATTCGCAATACTGTTCAAGTTTCTTGTTTCATGGTAGTATAAGGTAGTTAGAGTGGACATAGCGTTGCAATGGAGTACGATGATGATAGCGACGCAACTGAATCCCAGTGATTAATGGCACGCTACTGAGTACTCCCATAAAAACCAATGCTTTCCACCCACGAGTAAAGCAAACGGGAGGAGGAATACTGCGCAACTCCGTGCAATTCCGTGTGTGCCAGAGCAGGACACAGTCATTTACCCTCCCCACTAATTAAGCCCCACATTCCCTCTCGAGTGCATAACCCAAGTTAACCATGAGTGCCTTCCGCAGGGAGCCCCTGTCATGGGCCGGTCCTGCCGCTCAGGGCGGCAGCGCCAACTACGGCGTCTAGTGAAGGCGCACCACCAAGTGTGGGTGTTCGACGCACATCTCCACAAGGCCCCTGCGCCCGTGCCCCGGGAAACGCACCACCCGCCGCCGCCGCCCTCGCCCGCAACCTTCTCCACCGTACTAGCGACTTCCTCCACCGCATTCTCTCCCTCCTCCCCCGTATCCGCAACCGCTTCCTCCCAAGGCCCCTCCACCGCACGAGGGGACACCTCGGCCACCTCTGGTCCGCCCTCCCCCTCTCAGCACTAGCGAGTGCTGCCCAGAAAGGGTGTGGAAGCCTCGGCCCCCTATCACCCCGCCGCCGCGAGCACCCCCTGGTCTCGCTCCCGGGCCCAGCACCATCACTCGCCACTGGGAAACCAGCGATCGCCCGGGCGACCACCGCACGCCCGCGGGTGGTCTCAAATGTACCCCTTCAGAGGAAGATTAAAATAATCCTCCCTCGCATTAACGCTCCACGAAAGGCACGGAACATGCCATTATTATAACCCCCCTCTTTTTTTTATCACCCTGACACACATGTACATACAATAAAATAAATTAACCATACAAACCACACTCACACATACACTCATTCATACACCCACACGCACACACAACTTTCACCTCCCCTCTTCCTTCTCTGCCTTTCCTCTTCTCGTCAGAAGATTTCTGACGTCCCCGCGCAGAAATAAAAAACACGGGTCGTAACATAATCATTACATTATTAACATTATTTTCTCTCTCTCTCTCTCTCTCTCTCTCTCTCTCTCTCTCTCTCTCTCTCTCTCTCTCTCTCATCTTATCCTTTATTTATTTCATTGCAAATGGAATAAGCTAAACGATGGCAAAACGATTGCGTGTATCAAGTATAAGTTTTGAATTACTTCGTTGGCTTCCTCTCGAAGATAATTCTGATTCGATTTCATCTCATTAGCACAGTGTCGTTTCCAAACAAGCTCTTCGACGTACCTTTCACCTTCTTCTACATCGGTACAAACTCTAGCTCCCATGGCAAGAGTGAATGCTTTTCCCAAACCTTCGCTCGGATTCTCATCCTTGCAGAAGGCCAGTAGCATGGCAGTGTAATGAACCGAGTCTCGATTTACCAGATACATCCGGCAGAGAAGTTTCTTTGCCAGCATCAGCCTCAGTGTTGCGCTGTTAGGAAATAATTTACAAAAACTTGATTAAAAATAAAAATAAGAATTAATTTAAAAAACCATTGTTTGGAAAATTGTAATCAACGCTTAACCGAATGGATGATTAGCGAAAGTAATTAATTAAATGGAATCGTTTAAACGAAAAATGAACTTTGAATCTAAATGAAATTTTAAAAGACTTTTTTAAATGAATTGTTTTCAAGCCGGCTCAATCCATTTTAATTTTAATCAACATTTAACCGAATGAATGATTAGCGAAAGTAATTAATTAAGTGGAATCGTTTATACAAAAAATAAACTTTTAATCTAAACGAAATTTTAAAAGATGTCTTTTAATGAATTGTTTTCAAGCCGGCGAAGTTCAGTTTAATTTTCCGCTTCACAAATTTTCATTTTTAAATGTGTTTTCCATGTACCCAGAATCATCCTCGCTCCTTTCTATGAAGTCGCTCCCCAAACTTGAAATATGGTCGTCTAATTCTTTTTTCTCGCGCAATATTATGTTTTTCATCGTATCGGAATTGTCGTGATGAAGTTTTTCGTCCAGGACATTTTCATAAAGGGTGGAGATTTCGAGAAACCACAAAGGTGTCGAATAAAACTGCTCGCATGTAATTATCTCTCTTGATTTAAGATCCTGCATTCTGAAGGTTGCACGGGCTTTCAGAATGTCCTGATGCGACGGCACAGGCAGATCCATTGCGTACAGAACGAATTCTCGCCACTCAATATACTCGGCGGTGCCAAACAGTCGGTTGATCAGTATTTCGATATCGGGAGGTCGCAATTGTCGCCAGGCGCACGGCACGAAGGGCGGGTAACACTCTTCCTCGCCGCAGGATACCAGGTCCTGGAGGACGTAGACCAGGACGCGTTCGCTCACGATTCCGCGCGGGGCGATCCGTTGGAAAATATCTATCAGTCGACCGAGTTGGACCATTCGGAATCGTAGAGGCGAAGGTGGTTCTCTGATCGGGGCAGCGAATCGTCCGTCACCTTCGGGAAACATTAAGACGTTTGACCTTATGACAAATTGATCGCCGTCTAATAATAGTTCCTGCTGAACAGGTCTCCTTTCTTCGATAGCAAAGCAGAAGACTTCCGTCATTTCGTTGATGCTCTCGATTTCGCGTTTGTATCTAAAAATATTAAATAATTATTCCTGAGAAGTTAGTTATCTAATACAGTGTGTATATATGTATACATGTTCCAAATGTTAAATATAATTATTTAACATCAGATATTAATTAGAAATAAGCATATGAGTAGTTATTTTAAAATTCAGATAGTGTTGCCAAGCAGAAATCATAGAAAATTTTTGACATTTTACAAAAACATTAATCGCGAGAGTTGCTTTTCATTCAGACTGTAAAATGGATAAAATTATTCTACGATGATAATAAAATATTAATGCAAAGTTATCAAACTTTAAAATTTTGTGAGCTAATAACTGATCTTAATAAAATAATTTTTCTTTCATATCGAGAATATTTCCACGGGAGCAAACTGTTTTTTCATTATGTTACCTCATTAATTATTAAATAAAAGATTAAAGCGACAAGTAATTTTTTAAATTAACCTTTGGACAATATAATTGTGAACGCGATGGAAAGTCTGTCTCATGGTATCCAGAAGAAAGGTCACGTCTGATCGAGCAGCCGCATTTAGCACGTCCAATCTCTGATGTATACGTCCGATCTCGAACGAAACGGCGTACCGCCATTCCTCCACTAGATCACGATATCTTTTCGCTAGTTTGGCAAACGTCGGATCCGGCGAAGCGTTTCTTTTGCCTTTAACTTCGGTTTTCGGACTCGGGGCTTTCTCCTCCTTCTTCAACATCTCCAATACCACAGATGAGATGAACTCTACGGTGCCTCGCACTCGTTGAACGTTATCCTTGATAATGTTATAAACGATGCTCTGGCCAGGCTCGAAGTTCTTCGATACGTCGATTAACAAAGTTTCGATCTCAGTCTTCAACTGACTCTTATTTATGACTTGAGCGGAAGCTTCGATCGAATCAGTCTTCGTTTTTGACGCCGTTCGTTCTTTAGCTAATGAAGTTTCAAGAATGTCCTCCAATTCGACATTGTCAAGAATTATTTTGGAGAACCGCGATTCTTGCAGTGGCTTCTGCGACATGGAGGTGTAATAATCCTGAAGGAGCTGCATAGTGTCGACGAATCTGTCAATTTCGATCTGCAAGATTCCGATGTATACGTTGACGAGGACCACAGCTTCCATCAAAGTCCACCCATTACGCAGCGTGCGTTTCCTCTCTTCTTCAGCTTCGTGTTTTCGCGCGTCACACAAATCCCATAGTTCTGTTCTAAAGCTGTCGACCTAACACGAAAATTTTAGGATTCTCAATTAAACGAAGATATTCATACTCCTCGATGTATCGTGTCAAAATGAAAAAATTGTATATTAAAATTAAATCAAGATTGATTTAATAGCGAAACCTCACCTCTCTCTCCTCTCTCTCTCTCTCTCTCTCTCTCTCTCTCTCTCTCTCTCTCTCTCTCTCTCTCTCTCTATTTGTTCTTTCTCACTTTTTGTTATATTATAATTATCTGTTTAATTACAATTATACTGGATTTTAATGGTAGTGAAGAAATACTAACAAAGTTGTCCCATTAAGAATACAAAAATTATCCCTTAATATTCATCCTTCCTTTATTTATGAAACTGCTATGTGCACTTACTCGGCAATGCAGCTCGCATTTCATGTCCAAGTCTTCCCTGAGATCTTCATCGATTTCATTAAAGGCGCGATGAAAATCTTGCAACAAGATTTGCCGCCTGTCAGGCCGATCGACGAATCTCATCAAATTATCGCGAACAAAGTTCTTGTAAGGTATAATGGCCGATGTATGCATTCTCTTCAAGGAAAAAATCTCTTTCAAATTCTCAATGTAGGCTTGTTCAACGCTCTCCCAAAGGGTAGCCAAAATTTCGAGCAAAGCTGGAGGCTGGAAGAGATCTAACCATTGCCAGCCGCCTTCTCCAGGTTTAACAAAATCATTTGCTAGCTGCGTTTGAGCTTTCAATTGTAATTCGCGGCTTTCAGCTTCGATATCTTTCTTGTCTTCGTATTCCAAGCGTTTCCATTTAGACCTCGGTATTATACGCTTAACAATAGCCGTCTTCGGGTCAGTCAAAGCTTTTTGCTTATCGTAATATGTCTTGTCGGACAATTCCAGAGATGATTTCTTTCGGTGGAAATGATCCGCGATAAGTTCAGCCAATTGTTTCAAGGTTGGAAGATCGAGAACATTGTAAAAAAATCCATAGACGATATTTTGATTAGCGTAGTATTCGTCCATCGAGGTGGCGTTGTCGGGTAGAAATATACAAAATTGTTCTTTACTGTCTACCGTCTTTGGTTTCAGCATTGTCTTGATATAAATTGTCATGAACGTTGAAGGAGTACTATAATCTTTTGCCTTGGAAATTGGGTTCGGCAATAATCTAGAATGCCTATCAAGTTACATTAATTTTTACAAAACCTATATTACGTAATAATTAGTAATTAATTAAATCAGCTTTAATTCAAGATAGGGAGCGGAGTCGAGTTGGCGTTCCAATGCACTGTTAAAATTTATAAACAATAAATAAATTTGAATATGTAATATCTCTCTTAATATCGTTGAACGTATAAATAATGTTAACAATATTGAATATCTCCTCCGAATTAATATTGACAAAGTCATAAATTAATTTAGACGTGAAATGATCGAACGCGCCTGCATATCGCGAATATGTCGGCCTCATCACCGGCGAACACGATCCTGGGTGACGAAGGATCGATGTCCTCGATGTTGACATCAGTAAGGTTGGCGGGATCGGGAGGTATCTCGCCTCCTGTCAACGCTTTTTCCAACATCGCCATTTGTTCGTACGTATTAGGATAATTTATTAATATCCATCCCTCAACATTGCCGATTCCTTTTAAATACTCCATCAGTATCTTCGTATTTAACTCGTTCGAAATCGGTTGACCCAACGTGAGAAACTCGTAAGTCCACTTGCCTAAACATCACAGGTAATTATTCTACGATCGACAATAAACAAATTATCCTCGGTGATTATGTTATTTGATGTTACGAAAATTCGATTATTAATGTCATAAAATACTGTGACTTCGGGATTGGTCTGATAATGAAATTTTCATCACGTACATACGCTATTAATTAAATTTCTATTCTTAAATTCCTGTACCTATATATGCAGTGTCACTTAAAATTGGGTCCATGTCGTCACAAGGTATCTGTCTAGGGGTTTGCGTTTGTTTCTCCCCGGCTGCGCTCTTCTGGGACGTTGCTAACTTTGCTGATCGTTCGATCTTCTTCGGATGACGCTCCCTCGGGTCTTCCGTCTTGTTCTTAGCTTCCAATCTCTTAATATCTCTCGTCGTCGCTGAGATGATGTTCAGATCGATGTATTCCACGTCAACCATTTCCTGCTTGTACCTCTCCAGACAATGATTGATCGCATTTTCCATCGTCAGCAAATGAATTCCGGTATTCTTCAGCAACTGTCGCAGCTGCTCGTGCAAGGTTGTATTTGTTATACCCGAGATAATGCCTGCGACCTTGACTCTAGGCACTGAACAACCCACAACCTCGGCCGGATAAGGATACAAGATCTCCAACAAGCGATGAACGATGTAACCAAGCACAACGTGGCCCAATCTGCAAATTTCCTCAGCTTCCTCTTCTCTTTTTGGCACGAATTGACCCCAGGGCGAAGCTAGATCCCGATAACTCTCAAAGTCTGCATCAGCCAGAGATCGTTGACGGTCCTTCTCCAGTTGAACTAGTCTCTGCTTTTCTTCAGCTTGTAATTCTTTTCCAATCTTTACCCCCACTTCTTCATTTCTTACTTTTTCTTCGCTATTTCTTCTTGCATCATTCCCCATTGTCACCTTATCATCTTCATTTACCTTTACCTTTTCTTCCTTTGAATTTTTTTCTCCAAATTCTTCTTCTTTAAAACCATTAAGGTGATCCATACGTTCAAATATCGGTTGGTTCTTTAGAAACGACATTCTCCATTCGTTCCAAGCGGAATTAGGAATATGATTTCCGTTCGTCTGACGATAATCAGCAATTTTCACTGCGATGTCCACAAAATCATTCACGATCTCCGAACAGATGCCTTGATGTTTCTCCATTATCCTGCGCACCTTCAAACATTTAATACTTGTATCTTCCATATAAAAAATGTCAATCATTTTTCATATATAAAAAAAATTAAAATTACAATCCCTTATTTCTTTTTTACATTCAACAAATACATATTTTTCAATGTTCATATTTAATTTTTATATATACGATGTCTTTTGCTTTCTTGTATTTTAAATTCAAGTAGTTTTCTATCCTGCTCGATTTTTTGAATCTATATTTTTTGCCAATATTCAATAAGCATTTCGTCCAACCACCACTCATATCTCTCTTCCCATTCTTAGAGATTTTTGTTTTTCGCTTAGGATATGCTAAGATATTGTCATCCACTCACTTTTTCCTCGCGAATTCTCCGACGAAGCTCGCGCATTCTGCAGGCCTCCATTTCCACGTCCTCTCTCTCTTCCTTTATCGTTTCTTGATGACGATCCTCCTTCAGTCGTTGTTCGCTCTCTCTAGTCTTCAACAACATCGCATCAACAATCCTACGATTCTCCACGATTCTGTTTCTCAAGTCTCGCACCTCACACAGCTTCCTCAATATTTGTTTCTCGTAGCGCGACTGATCCAACACTCGTCTGCCGAGAGCCTCGTCGAATGATCTGTCCTGTTTCCTCAGCAATCGTTCCCAAGCCTCCGACATCATCGTTGTTTGCGTTTTCAGCTTCAGTTCGTGAGATTTAGCAGCTTTTTCGCCGCGCTTCTTCAAGAAGCTGATATATTTCGCGGCAGTTACAGGATCCTCAACCTCGTGGGACACGTCCAAAGGTCTCTTCGAGTGACAACACTTGATCACTTGGTATCTCTTCTTCGACTTGCGAGCCGGATGCTTGCGAGTGAACTCGGTCAGTCTTTCGCTCTCCTCCTGCTTCTTGTCTGGCAACTCTTCCGGGATAAAACGCTCGACCGGCTGTATCACAGGATACTCCATGAGAGCCTCGAATTGCTCTCGCTCTCGTCTGCAGGCTTCCGTGATCGCCCAAAACTTCTCCCTGTGCCAAAGAACGGTGTCGATCGCTCCAATTAACGGTGTCGAAAGAGGGTGTTCAGGTGGTGCATAAGGAGCTTGATCCTCAGACACTATGGAGACATCGAATCTACTGGGCATATACTTTCGCTCTTTCTGAAGAGCAATAAAATGCAGTCGGTCTTTGCCCTCGAGGCTCAAGTAAACCTTGTAGAACAGCTGAAGAGACGCTGCGCCTTTACCCTAAAGCGTCATCCTTATAAAACTCTCCGTATAACATAGTATCTAATATGTTTATAAAGAAATATGTAAAGTAATAGAAATTAATATAGTAATTTATCTATAAATCAATAAAAATTATATTTTTTTTCTAGATCAGCAACATTGTATCAAGTAATACAGCTTCCCGAACAATGTGATTACTTTAGGAAACTCGAAAGTAATATAAAAATATTCTTTCGTTTCTTCCCTAGCCAGTTTAATTATCTAAAGCTGCCTATTGTGCTGCTTCTTCTGCAAGTGATACTTTAGAGATCTCCTCGATGCACTCGTCGCTCAGCGTGACATTAATGAGTTTCAGCCAGATTCGCAGGGTCCTCAGGTTCACCCTGGACAAGGCAGGATCTCGCGTACGGAGGATGGTGCTTAATTGATTGCTGGTGATTATATCGTAGCTGTGCAGGATCTGGGCCAGCAGGGTGCCGTCTCTCGTGTAGCGGCCGAACGTCTCCGGCGTGAGGTCCATGATCGCACCCAGTCTCGTGCGCAGCCATGCCTTCAGCGCATCGGCCATTTGTGGGAATTGAACGCCTTCGCGAAATTTCGTACGTCTCGGATCCAGGAGTCGCGTTTCCGACGCTGGCGACGTGATCGAGACATCGCGACTTGACAACTGTGATCGTTACGAAATTAGCGTCACGTGCACGCCTGAGAACCGAACGTCGAATTTTTCGTAAAGAGCAAACAATTAATAACGTGGGATGGTGATAACAAAGTAATAACAATGATGTAATATTAGTTTGCATTTACGTACGTTCGTATTTTACGTGCATTTAGAGACTTGGCTTCTCTAGATATATTTTATTCATAGACAGATATACGAATTTAATAATTTTTGTGCATTAACGTTCAGCAATTTTATTAATATTTCTGAAAATATGCTTTTAATCATTTTATGTTTATGTGTTGTTAAATATCGTTTGTCAATTCAAAAGCTAAAGTTTCTAAATTTATTTAAAATATATATATTTTTTTTGTCGTAATAAAGACAGAACGTAAAATATGCTGCAAAGGTGGGGAAGTAGTCGCAGAAAAATGAGAAGCCCAGGTTCGACATTTTAAAACATCAATTTAAATAACCAATAATTCATTCACACATACAACATGTGGTATATATATCTTCTTTAATATTAAAAATTAAAATTTATAAATCATCCCTATCTAAAAAAGGCGTTGCGAGTTCATTGTTGTCGCTTTTCCGCGATGCCGATTGGCTCTCTCGAAACTCGATTTCGATCTTGTTGCGAGTCGATTCTCTTCGACTCACGGTTTTGACAGTTTGCATTTAAGAGGGTTATTTTGACAGTTTATGTGTCGATCTCGTTACGAGTCGTTCACTTCGACTTGCGGTTTCGACAGTTTGTATTTAAGAGGGTTATTTTGACAGTTTATGTTATGTGTATGAAGGAGAAGAAAGGGAAGATAGAGAAAGGAGGAGGAAGAGACGATAAAATTAGCTTTTGCGATGACAATTAATAAGTCACAGGGACAAACATTTGACAAAGTAGGAATAGATCTTCGCAAAGATGTTTTTAATTATGGACAACTTTATGTTGCCTTTTCACGCGTTCGTACTTGGCAAGCATTGAAAGTTTATCTTGGTAATCAGCGAGATAATAAATAAGTTAAAAACTATGTATATAAATAAATATATACATAGTTGATTTTTCCTTTAAATTAAAAATAAAATCAAATAAATAAAACCTATCTAGATAAGAAAGAATTATATTGAATAAGCTAGACTTTTTGATATGTTATAAAAAATGTGAGACAATGACAGGATGGGATCAAATGCAAAAGAATAGTTGAAGATAAAAGTGTATAGTAAACACAAAGTTAAATAAATAAAAATTATCAGGATAAGAGATAATAATTTTGAATAAGCCAGATTTTGAGATTTATTTAAAAGGAACGTGATATAGAATGAATGAAAATGATAGTGATAGTGACTAAAAGTGAAATTTAGTAAAAATGATAGAAAACTAAAAAGAAAAGAATAATGTTAATTGGTGTGCGCAATATAATATTTTAATGTTCTAATATAATGTGGAAGAACAATGGCGCGCGCGAAGCGCGCGCTTGTGTTGTTCTAGTGCATATAAAAAGTGCGTGTTCTTGTTGTTGCTTCTGTTTTTCTTTTATTATTCCCTTATACTTCGCTGCATATACACGTTACAGGCCTATAGGTACAGACAGGTAAAGAAAATCGTGGTTCGTCAGCTTTTCTTTATTATCGATTTCGGACCAACAGCAGCGCCGCATTGAGCATCATTGGTTCGGCTCGCCAAGAAATAATGTACGGGATATTTCGATTTCTCTTGTACGAATCGAAAAGATCTGGGAGTCGAGTCGAGTCTCTCAAGGGACAAGTATGAGAGGATCGTTCTCGCGTGGTATCATCTTGTCTTACGCAGGATGAAAAAGGACGTGCACGGCTCCTCCGTGTTTTCTTCCCAGGGGGAAAAATGGGTGAATCGAAAGAAATTCAGTCTCGTGAAATAAAATAGAATCATTTTTCTTGAAAAAAAATCTTTCATATTGGTACCGTCTGAAGATACGAGTAAAATAAAGATAACGCAATTACTCAAACAATTAATCTCTTAAACAGAACATTATGACAAATTTTAACAACAAAATTGCAGCTGCAGGTGTTTGAATAATTTTCCAATCGTACAGAAACTTAATTCAGTGTTGTAAAAATTGTATTAAACACCGATGCTTGACATTCTGTAACATTTTTGTAATTGATTTTAATTCTACAAAAAGAAATATAGTTTCTAAAATTTATTATTTACTTAAATAAACAGATAAAAGTATAAAGCAGATTCAAAAATAATTCTGCGAAAATGATGTGTCGCTGATTTCCATGCTTAAGAATTCATAAGTTTGCTCAAATGAACCTTTTATCAACTTTTTCCGATTTGCCCATTTTTCGCAAAGTCGCTCCTGACGAGCGCGGTGTATGCGTGTGTGTATATCGCTAGAAAAATTCAGAACGGAAACAAAAGGGCTACCGATCGACGCGACTTGATACATTGATATACCCGCAACGGATTAAAGACTTTCGCCACAAAACAATTCTCGACGTATCGTCATCAAGAATGCCAGATTATTTTGGTGGCCGAGACAGTCGGTTATCAATCGAAAAGCAAATATTGTAAAAGTATACGCTTCATACTTTCATAAAATGCAAATATCGATACTGTATTGCACTTTGGTATTACCTTGGTAAAATTTTTTCGCGACAACCCCGTTGCCTGTTGCAGCAAGAAAACGAGAACTACCGTGTGTACATTACGTCGATACATTTGCTGGCGTTTCCGATCGCATGCCCGCGACCTACAAAAATTCCCGCAGCTTCCGAATACCGAAACTCATATTCTCGACTCGTCGAAATGCGAGGAAAACCAAAAATGGGGATTCGCGCGACGGTGCCAAGAAAGAAAGACGGTGGAATTTCTGACGAGGCTCGACTTGGCAGCCTGGTCCGCATCGGTGGAATAATTAAGTACAAATGACACGACGTTCCTTGGATTTATTCTTCGTTTACTCGATACTGTTGCACTCACTCACGTCTAATTGGACTCTTCATCATTCTCGTCTCACGAGGGGGTGCTACGCGCTGCTCCTCACCGATTTCGATAAAACTTGCAGCAATAATAAAAGAACACTATCTATTCGATACGCGCGAAGCTGTTTTTTTTGTTCCAATCCAGAAAAACGGATTTGCACGCATCGATTAGACCAGTATCTTCTATCGTTGCTGCAAGTTTTATCGAAATCGGCGAAGGGCAGCGCGTAGCGTCCCCTTGTCAGTATATATTCTTCGGTACAATATAATACAACCATAATAGCAATGATCGCAATAATAATGGTAATAATTATTAATTAATAATAATAATAGTAATATAATAAAAATCACCATTGTCTTCACCACCGTCGTCGTCGTCGTCGTATCGCTATAATGTATTTATAATATTTATACCGTGTGGTGTGTGAGTGTGTGGATTCATACAATTACATCATCGTATCGCCGCGAGTATAAGTATATAATTACAATCACTTATTAATATTCACAACTTAATAATCGTTCACCATTGTTCTTTCCACCTTTCGCTCTAGAAACAATGCGCAATTATTGTGCTTGCCCCGTTCTGCCGTTCGTCTACCGCTCACGATCATCAATTATTAATCATTATTATTGTTGCTGCTTAATTATATACAGAAGAGGTATATATTCAATAATATTAATTAATATTAGTATTTATTAATAATTTAAGTTTACGCTTCACACGTGACTACTGTATGTGTGTGTCTCTGGGTGTGTATGTGTGGTGTTTGGTGTTTCTAGAAAAGAAAGTATTTTATATAAGACCACGCGTACTTCTGAGAGCTTCCACCGCGGAGTGAAATTCTCAGGTGGCATTTCTCGTCTTCGACTTATCATACCAGAGAGTTATTCTGTCGAGTGTCACTCTCGTACGAAACAAATCGAAGTTAAGAGAATTATTGCGATTATCCGGCGTACGACTCTCAAATGAATACCTAGCGAAGTTTATTTAGACTCTCTAGATCCACGAGAGCTTCACGCAGAAATCAAAATTTGAGAGAATAAAAACATCGCTCTCGAACAAGTAAGACATTCGGATCTAGCGAAACACTCGCGAGTACACATCGACAAAGTCCCCGAGAAGGACGGATCCGATGCCTGCCGGATCTCCGATGCCCCCGATAGGAGATCGTCAGCGAGGAAACGGGCGAACACCGGCGTCGGGATTTCCAGATGTCGATCGCTTCGATCTCTCATAGACGATCCGCCGACGCCGATTTTCGCCGAGGACGAGGCCGGAGTCGAGTGAGGGACTCCAAAAGAATCACATATAGATCGGAGGAAGTACATTATTGCTCGGGCGATTGGTTCTCTCCCCTGTCGGCAGGGGAGACTCACCGGGAGCATCGATCGGCAGGCGTGGATCGTTTGGCCAAAATCAACATCGATCAATGGATAGACCGACTCGCTGTAGAGCTCGAAGCTCGATGCCAGTGAGACGAAGATAAAAAAAAAACCGCTGGCAATCGCCTGTGATTCTTGCATTATGCGCGTGTCTCGATACTTTAATCCAACTCGAACCCCCAGGCGGAAAGAAGCTCGAAAATTTCCCATCCCACGTGGCAACGAAATATCAATCGCTCGTCGAAGCGTCGACCGATTTCCGATCCCCCCGCGTTTCGCGCGTGTCTCGCACGCGCGAGACAGGAGCGTCGCTCCTTGGAGAGACGAGCGGCTGCTCCGTTTTCCTATCAAGCCGGAAGTGCCGGGTTCGCGACGGAGTCCCACCGCCGGCGTTTCCGGCGCTACGGGTGTTTTCTTTTTCTACGTACGAAGGAAACGGGCTCTGATAATTACCTAGAGATATAGTCTAAGTGAACATAGAACACTACTCTGTTCGTGTGTATCCCTGTTTCTGTGTTTGTATGTTTCCCCTCTGCTCCTTTCTCTCTCGTTCGCTCGCATTCTCTCTCTCTCTCTCTCTCTCTCTCCCCCTTTTTCTCCCTGTCACACGCGTTCTCTCCAACTTTCGTTCTCTCACTTTCGCTTCGTGTCCTAAGGACTAATTTGCTTTGTAAACTATGATGTCGCCTATGCGCGATATCTACCTCATCGCTAAGTTTAGCAACATGGACATTATTATTTTGTTTCTCTCCGTCAATCTCCCCCTTCCCCCCCGTCTACGCACCCCGTTCCACCCTCCCTTCGCCAAGCTCCGCTTCGTCATTCAAAATATTCCATCTGTTTTTTGTTTTGTCACATATTAATCGTCCCCTTTATCGCGCTAAGAAAAAGGATTATTGTTTTATATCACACGCGCACACACGCACAAAAACGCACACATACACGTACACGTGCACGCTCTCTCTTACTGTTAGCCGGTTTCTTAATTAATCGTTAATTATCCACGTCCTCGTATTGATCACGGTGTTTATGCCGGGTTTCTCCCCTCTCTCTTTCTCTCTCCCCTCTCATTTATACTCTAGACGCTAGATGTATGTATATAATGTACGGATTGAGATTTTTCCCTGGTTTCGGAAGCGATTTCGGCGGCTGTCAAGACGTCGACGGGATCATCGCGAATTCGCGAGTCGAGGACTCGGTTTAACTTCGCGAACGCGCAATACGGTCGCGGTATCCTCGAATGGCGTAAAAACATGGAACGGGCGAGGCCGAAATGCGAGAGGCGACAGAGTTACAATCGATTCACAGAAAGAACGAGACGATCGAGTATAAGAGCAAGGGGATTGAATGAAGAGACTGGTGCAACGCGACGAGTCGTGCATGGTGGAACAGAAACGAAAGGAGATGTCGCGACTCATTAATTATGCATGGTAACTATTAATCCTTTACTTTTGCACAAATGCAAAGCGACTTTTCGACGTCCCACGTACTCTCCCTCGTCAAGTTCCAACTAAAAACGCGCAACTTTGCAGATCTGTAAAGGGCCTTCCTTCTATTTCCTTCTGGATGGGAAGGTTCTCTGGGTCCCTTTCAAGGGAGAGGGTGTTCAAATTACCTCAAGAAGGAACTGTTAAATACATTTTTTTAGAATTCCTCAAGCAGTCGCTATTTATTTTAAAGACATATCCGAAAGCTGCGAAAAGTTGCGCGTTTAAGGGTCAAAGTCTCGACTTTTTAAATGTCTGTGCCCGCGTCGTACGTCGACGTGTTTGATTGCTTATTAAATTTCGAAGACGTTATTCAGCAGAGCTCCAGACGGCTTTCGTTCGTTTCACAAATACAAAATGTTGAGGATAAAACAGGAGCAACTCCGATGCGTCGGCGAGGAAAGAGCCTCTCTTACTACTAAAATAACGTCTTCGTCCGCCTTTATCTGTCTCTATTCTTGTCCCCTGTCGTCTTTCGGTCTCGAGCGTTCCAACAAGTGTGGTTTCTCTTCCAAGGGTGTCAAGAAGGCACGTGACTGAAAGATACCCCGCTACTCCCTACAGTCGTTTCCTCTCGCCCGACGGTAGGCGCGCGATCGCCCCCGTTTCTTCTTCCTCCTCTTATTCTACCTGCCACCGATATTGCGCGTTCCGCTCGCCGGATTACAGCAATCGTATACAGTCGTGTTCTACGTATCGAGAAGAGTGGGCTAAAGTAAGTTCCCGATCGCGATTGATCGCGACCACCTGAAGAAACGCGCCGGGGAGAGTCGTCGTAGCGCGGCTTCCTTTTCACAAGACGCACACCGGGCGGATACACCCCTCCCCCCCCCCCTCCCTCTTTTCTTGTCGCTACACGAGAATCTGCGAATAGAGAATCATCCTTTACTTCTCATTTTTATTATTATCCTTTACTATTTATTATGTTACTTTACTCGTTATATCGTTACTCGCTATCGTTTATTATCCTTGCTTACTACGCTTGCTTTAACTATGGAAACGAGAAGAACGTGGTACCAGCTGCCACAACTACGGTATGTACGTATGTGTATCTATATCTGTGTGCGTATGCGTGGCGCGTGCGCGTGCGTGTGTGTATTTCTTTTATACGTCTGGCTGCCCTACGTGTGCACACACACACACACACACATACGCCCACACCCACACACGCACACGCACAGAACGTTGATCGAGGACGACGTCCTCCGGGTGTGATCCGGGTCGCGCCACCCTCATCCCCATCCTCCCCATCGATTCGCTTCGATAAAAGTTTCCGAAACCGGGCAAATATAATTATCACTTCGCTCTCTCGCTCGCATTCTCTCTTTCTCTCTCTCTCTCTCTCTCTCTCTCTTTTTTTACAGCGTATATCCAAAAATCTTTAGAAATTCTGTCTTGCGGTATATAGGTACAAATATCGCGGGGAGAGATTATCGTAGCGAATATTATAAAATTCTCAGTTTTTCTCTCTCTTTTTCTTTCTCTCTCTCTCTCTCTCTCTCTCTCTCTCTCTTTCTTTCTCGTATCGCAGACGGGAAAGAAACATCGCAAGCGATTTAGCGATTCTCGAAAGTGATTTAAAAGATTGTGCTGGCTCACAAGAAGGAGCTGGACGAAATTTCATCAGGAATCACATAGTTCACCGAGTTTTCCTTCAGCGCGCTCACTGTGCGAAGAAAAAGGCTTTTTTGCAGCTTGTAAAATGGAAAAATAGTTGTATCTCTTTCTCTCTCTCTCTTTCTCCCTTTCTCTCAGCTCACATTCTCACCTTCGCCTTTCGGAACAGCTACAACTTTTTTTCTGGGTTCATTTTTTTCTTGCGTCTCTTCCTTTCTTGTTTCTTTTTTATTTCGCTTAAGTTCGACGAGAGTCACCCTGTGAGTACACGCACGAAGGGCCCGCAGAAGTTACCCTGTGTGCAGGTGCAAATGCCCAAGAGATATAATCTGGGTACGCTTTTGTTTTCTTTTAACTGCTAAGTATCGTCCGCTGATTAAATATAATTGACTTTACTTAACGTGCGTGATGGTGGCGAGGGCCGTAAAATATATCTCTTATGCGTTACGCGTTCGCTCTCGGCTTGGTACGTGCGCAATGAATTCGCAAAGTGGTAGGGCGGAAAACATATAGCTAGTCCACGCTAAACATCGAAATGCCACTTTTGAAAGAAGAGGAAATTGGCGAATCGAAGACGGACCGGAAATTTTCACTCTAGGGTAAATGTAACCTTTGTTATACTCAGAAATGTGCCGTGTGCGAGATACTAGACAAATATGATTTCCTCCTGAAAGACCGTCTTTAACAGACAATCCGAAAATTTCGAATTTATTGTCTAATTAGAATTTTGTGTCCAATCCCCCAATTGTGAAGATTGAAGAAACATAATTACAATAGAATGATCCTTTCGGTTAACTTATGTTTTACGGGATTAACACCTAGAACGCCGGGAAGATGTTGCGTTCGTTTTAATCTTAATCACATTACTTTCGATCAAGTGTTATTGCAAAATACAACAATCTGTAGATATACGCATTTGACGACGAATTAGACGCGTAGGGTAAAAAATAGCGCGGCGAAAGGATGCCAAAAGTGTTCTTCTTGGTTCCGTAATGAAGAAGCTCGTTCGTTACACGCGTTGTGGGACGCGTACACAGTGTTGAACATGCGAAAGAAATGCGATGACGGAAAGGGATACTCGTCGTGGATCTGCAACGCGACGGCAACTAGCTGAATTTGTAAAGATTTTTGGCGCACTACTCTTCGCTTCCGTACACGCGACAAAATCGAGACCGCTTATTTGCAGCACATACTTGATAATTTTAACCGTGTGTGTGCGATACAATTACGTGTAATTAGCAGTATCATCATTAGACTTTTTATTATAATTAGTGTTACAAAAGCTTGATTATATTTGGATCGGACTGTAGCAATATATTCACATAACTATCGTCGTGGAAAATAAAAATTTAACGTTTACATTATACAATTGTTCTTTCACCATCATTCATCGATTCGCTATTTATTTGTAGGTTCTCCTCGTCGATTCACGTAATAAATACAATTATTTCATATAGTTATCATCGTTATATCATCATCAGCATCACCGGCTCTCCCAACCCAGTTCACTCTCGTCCATTATTATGTACCGTTTCGCGATATTCTAGTCAAAAAGTGTTTCCTCCTTTATCATATTGCCCTATATATAACACGAATCACACGATCTATTAAAAAAATTATAATAAAAAATCAATAAACGTTCGGCAAAGATTTATATCTTCGCGAAAAACAAACTAAGCGAAAACCGTCCCTTTTCGCCGCTTCCTATGCGCAATCGATTGCAGTTCTAGTCTGCCGATTATTGCTTCGATTCAGCATCGAATTCTCTCGGTCACTTGGCCGATTGCAAAATACTAAGCACCGTGAGTTCATCGCGCGACACGTCGTACGCGAGATTGCACGAGACGGGAATAGTAACGTTTGTCGCGCTACCACCCGGGGTACTAAGGGTATAATCGGTAATCGCGGGACCGCACTGTCCCTGACGCACGAGATCGATTGTTGTGGCATTGCACTACTATTTTATCCTCTTTCCTTTCCTCCCCAGTCGATTTGATAAAATGAATCAGCGTTCGCCAATTGTTCTTACGACTACGAAACTACGAATACAAAGTATGAATCGCGCATCTACTGGCACTGATAACGACCGAGACGAAAGCACACAGAGCGGAGATGCGAAGTATCCGAACGAAAGATACACGCTTACGCGGAACAAAAATCCAGTATCGCGCGAGATCGTGCGGACACTCTCGTTCACACACAGCACTAAATTCACAATAATTAATTATTATGTACAAAAAATCCTATACCCCATCGATCGCGTCCCTTTCCTCTCGCGATACGATCGGTTTCGAGACTCGGCGTGCAGCACGTCATTTCTTCTATTTCCCCTGCGCCTCACGCGCTCCATTGCATATGTCGTACGGAGCCGCGTGAATTAAATATTAACAAATATTTACCTAACTTATATTTCCCTCGCGACTTCCAGCGACTTAACGAAACGAAATCCTAAGAATAGCCTCGTCCTGGTGACCACCCGCTACATCCGCGACACGAAGATCGAGCGACTATAAGCTCTGTCGTCAATTTTCCCCTCACAATCTTATTCTGTTATCTCTATACCCCGTACTCCGAAAGAGCGTAGGGTAGTCGAGTTAAAAAGTTACAATACATGCTTCAGAATCGTGTGTTCCCGTATATGTGCTTAACAATGGTTACGAAAAATATATAGTATATGTTGTTCGCGCGTAAACGATAAACACGCTCGATCGGTCCTTTCGGAATCTGTAACGGGCGATCGATCACTTAATCCTCCGGAAGTTAAAGGAACGATCGGTTGCCGACGTTTGTAAAAACCTCGTAATGGTATCACAGGAGCGATATTTCTACATCGTTTCTCTTTCGCGCCAACTTTATTGCTATGAAATGCACGGCAAACGTTGTCCGTGGTTGCGGGACGATCAGAAAGTACGAAACGACATCCGCTTTGCAGGTTGCAGAGCGAATAAACTTGTACCAAAAAGGAAAGTCAAGTGGACGCAACGAGGAATCGAAATAAAAATACCGTACTGTGAAACAAGGACTCGAGGGTTCTCGGAGGACGTGTTCGGAGAATTCGCATTGATCAAAGAACCGAATAAACTGAAGCGAAGTGATAAGATGCTCGTCCGACAACTCAGGCTGGCAGTAGTTGAGGAGCCGACAACGCGCGACGCGATAATTTCCCTTTCATCCAGGCAGTTCTCTCGCTCCCTCTCTGATCCTCTTCTACGAACTTGTCCTCCAACCCCGAAGATCTCCCGCGAACCTCACCAGCGCGCCACTGCTCTGGTAAAACGTAAAGAAAGCGACAAAGGAGTCTTGAGTAGCACCTGTCAAAGGTGCCGCAGAGCTGTCGCGAGTCTCGCCTTCCACGGAAGCGTTTCATCCAGATCATTCCAGGAGAGAGAAGATTGAAATTCGAGACTAGTTTCGTCACTTGATCACACGTGCTGCCAAAAGATTATGATTTGTCTCCCTGCGACACTCGATAGAGCAAGCTTCTCCCCTTTTCATCTTTTTTCCCCACTTGCATTTCTTGCCTACTCGAAGGAGAGGGAGATAGATATTCGTGGACGTCGATCTATCTTCTTTCTTCTCTTCGTTCATTCCACCCTTTTCTTTCTCCAGTTTTCCCCTCCCTCTCGCGCTACGACGCTCCAGGGATGTCGAGACGGTAGGTCAGACTATTCGGATGCTTTCTCAACGAGAAGGGGACCGTGGATGGGCTGCTGCTATGCGGTATCTACCGGCTCCCAGCGCTCTCTGACGACTGAGCGACTGCCGCAGGATTGTGGCTTGTCTCATACTCCATCACCTCCTGATAGATCAGCTCCTTCCACTGGTCCACCGTGTGTTCCCTCTCGTCCACGCTATGGTCGTATGGACCTGGTGCGGGCTGCAAAACGAATCAGAATCTTTTGTAATTTATTATGTCAACAAGAGTCAAGGTGTCTTCATCGCGTAAAAAGTCACTGTCTCTCAACGTTATAATTATTTCTATAATTTAATGTCTTAAATAATAGATTTTTTAAGATGAAGAAAATTTCTGAAATCAATGACCACGGTGCATCCTGCGGTTTCCGGAGGAGACAGTACGATTGGAAGCGACCGTCCATTCGCGCGATCAATCGATAGAGCCTACTTACAGCATTGACTTCCCCCTCGTCGTACCAAACGTTTATGTAATTGTGCAGCAACGCCTCGTCCACGGAAATGCGTCGCTCCGGGTCGATCACGAGCATGCGCGACAATAGATCCCTGGCTTGGCTCGCTAGAAGAGGAAGTAAAAACCGTGAAAGGAAGAGTCAGGGAGAGAGGCAAGGCAAGGGCGACGACGGGAATGCGGATAATCTGGTCCGCGCGTCGAAACGCTCGCGTCCCGCGATCAATCTCGCGTCTCGCGACGCGGGGCGTCGACTTGCTGACCTACTCACCTTTTAATCTATTGTGTTCCGAGGAGTCCGAGGGGAATAGGACGTCCGGAAATAGCCTCTCGAAGGGATAGCCTGGATATCGCGGCCTGTTCTCCACGTAATTCCTGACGGTCGGCTGCAGTCGTTGCATGAATTCTTGCGCCGGTGTGCCAAGTTGTTCTGCGGATAAGAGCAACTATGTTATTTTTATTGTACAACAGCAGGGAGCCCGCGTGATAACCGTCATTATCTCTTTTGTGAATAAAAAGAGCATTAAGAAATCCATGTATCGCTTACATCCTTAATAAAATATGAAATTATTAGCGAATTATATGTACGGTAAATCAAGATTATCTGCTTGTAACAAAGCATGTCGTAGAACCTGTAAAGTATTCGCGATAAATTTTTGCAAGACAAAAAATATCAGATGATTGACTAGATAATTGCAATTACCCTTAATTAAATACGTTAAGTAACCGATGTAATAATATCACTAGGTATTAGTGCAAATAATTTTATAAATTGTAGTGAATCATTTGTCACTCTATTTTATTTCACTGAGAAAACACATTTATAGAATGGATTACAGCAGCGCGCAAACACGCATATCATGAAATTTTATCCCAAATTCAATTCTACTTTTCACAATTTAAAAGCTTAAGATCGGGCTCGAACTTATTCTTGCTATTCTCGTGACGGAAAGCGCAGCCTTACCGATTATCTTGTTCCACTGGTCGATGTGATCCGTGCCCGGGAACAATACACCACCGCGTATCATCTCGCCCATGATGCACCCCACCGACCAGATGTCCACATTCTCTTTGTACCCCATGCCCAGGATCACCTGGCGTAAAAAGACAAACGGCCCGAGTGGTGAGCGGAAAAGTCGAGTTGACCCGGAAGCGAGTTGCGGGAAAAATTACAGAAGAGTTTCACTCACCTCCGGCGCCCGATAATACCGCGTGACGACGTAGGGCGTCATCATGAATGTGGTACCGGCGGTCCTCGCCAAGCCAAAGTCGAGAATCTTCAATGTGCAGTCGGATTTCACGACGATATTGCTTGGCTTTAGATCCTATGCAGAAAGGGACAAATCTTAGGGATCAGAATCGTGTCAAAGAGCAAAGCGACGATGGAAAATGTCGATAACGCGGAGGAAAAAAAAAACGCGAGGTAACACGTAGTGAAACAATCGCTATGACGAAACCGTGCCGGTTGTATGAATTTTAATTTCTGGCGCGTTAATATACGCGGGCGGCCCCGCGCAATCGTTGCGCCGCGCTCTCATTTTTAATGAGAACGCGACGCCGGTTTAGCTATTCTATTATAACGCGCGGCGCGCCGGGAGATTAATCGGGACGACGGCAGTTATTTCTTTCGCCGGTGGGACAACAGCGGCCACGGGGCTACGGTATGCGCCAGAAATGGCCGTCGCTAATGAATCTCGTTACGGCGGATTAAATGGCTCCGCCCGTTATGCAATTTTCATTGGGGTGTAACGCGCGACTGGCGAACGGGTCACCCACCCTGTGGATGATGCCGGCGGAGTGCAAGTGCTTGATGCCGCACAGCATCTGGTAGAGGAGGTACGACATGCGCTCGTGGTCCAGATCCATCTGGATCACCTGGCACAGGTTCGCGTCCATCAGCTCCATCACCAGATACACGTCTTGAAACTCATCCAGCGACCGTTGCGGCGTGAACGCGTTCAAGAGACCGATTATCTGCAAGGCGATAAGTCGTAAATTGACAGCTCGACCTCGTCTCCTTGGACAATGCCCGGGCATTGTGAACGA